GATGACTGCCGTGAATCTTGCATCAAGGGCAAGTGCAATGGAAAAGCTAACCCTAAGCCTCCCACTGACGATGGTTCTAATAAGTGCGTAAACCCCAAAAACCGTGGCACTGGCACTGGTAAAGGCTGGAAGGACTACTGCTGCGAAGACAGCGATGATTGCCGTGATACCTGCATCAAGGGAAAGTGCAATGGCAAGGCTGACCCTAAGGGTGCTAAAACTCTTAACTAAGTTCATATTGATTCAACTATTTAGATTATAATAAATACAGATTAAATTGTAAAATGCTCTTATTATTGTTAAACCGCAAGGTTGTTATAGTCAGCAAAAAGCATATTCAACCATGAGTGCTCGCAGACAGACTTGATATTCAGAAGTACATTTTATTCACAAATTATTCGCATACTGATAAAAAAAAAAGATAATTTCAGACAACAAGTAATGATAAAAGAGAGCACATCAGAAGCAAAAGAATGGGATATACAGAAATGATTAGTAAATCAGTTATAAATTGATATTAAATACTTACATTATAAAGAAGAGGATCTATAAGAGAAAAAAGAGAAGCAAGAAAAGCGAGTTAACTTATAAAGGGATTGTTAATATCTTACACGAAGTGCATTAAATAGGGCTGGCGATAACCAGCCCGAAAAAGTAAGAGGAGAGCAAGAGAGAGAGGTCAAAGGAGTGGATGGGATCAAAGTTTGGTAAGAACTAAACTACCTGCAGCTAGCATCAGTAATATTTTCGATTTTATGATCTATAATACTACATATTAGCTTCTTACAAGAGTAAAGAATATAACATACCTTAGGCTAGCTGGGGAATAACTGGGGAATAGCTAATCTTACTTTTTGGTCCAAAGGAGAAAAGAAGAGGAAAAGAAGCCAAGATCAGACTATTTAAACAAAGTTTCTAACGACTTTTTCAGTTACATGTTTTTCATAAGTGTTGATCACATTTATTTTACGTATTATTAAATAAGGAAGATAAAAAATCAACTATAATGTTAATTGTTACTGATCTTGTAATGTGTACGAATAATTTCTGAACCTTCTATATTACACCAATCATTTTGGATGTTTGGCCATTTAAACAACGAATAACTGTAAATGTGATATAAAACACATCGGGTGATATTTCTTTACGGCATATAGGAAAGTATTTCTTATTGAATGCTTGTTATCTCAATAGATGGTCATTGCTCTATAGTAATCAAATTGTAAGGTCATAAAAGGCTCTACACATAAGTACTTGTTTGCCTCTGGTATGTTTTATGTTATGCGCATCATTATGCCCTATATCGAGAGTCCTTGAAATAGTTTGTAACTTGAAGCCCAAGATAAGCAAAAAGTCTACGACATGTACCTAGAATGAAGCAACGTTAGCCATTTTTAGAAAGCTAAACAATATTTAATTTCCGAGCGATTTCTTCTCTCATTTTATGGTTTTAAAAGAGAAATCAAATGGATATGTTGCTGACAGTTTCTAAAATTTGAAAAAGACTATTCATGAATGATCAATATTGATTGGCCCTCTGTTATGTGAACCATACCATATAAGCCATTAGCTTCATATACAAAATTTACCCCTGAGTGGTACTGTTGTCAATACAATCACCGCATGATGCGCCAATTGTGACATTGACATCTACTTGATTAGTTCAATCATAGACGAGAGCTCTATAGAGATCATTTAGTTTAGCACAGGGCTGTAGGACCCGTTTTTTTCTACCACTTTCCAAATCTAGAAGTGGACATTGAAATCAACTTTTTTATTGCGTCATTACAATATTGATAAGACCCTTTTGAGTAGTAGAATAGGTACTGGTTGTCACTGTAAATAATAGTAAAAAAACAAAAAAAAGTATAAGATGCTTATGATAGCTTGATATAAGCATTGGGATATGATAGATTGTCATGCCAATAACAAGAGCAGTACAAGATAATTCATGACGACATCATGTTGTAACATTTAATCTGATATGAACCACCTTTTGGTTTTGGGAATTAAAAGGAAAATTTTATAATAATATATTCACACACGCTTATTTGTCAATTAAAGAGACAATGCTGCTTATGATCCAAGCCCAAGGCAGACAAAGAGAGAAAGGGAGAGAGAAACCCATCCCAATTGTAGCCCAACAATAAGGAAAAAGAGAATTAATGCATATAGAAAATTCGAATCCCGAGTTTTTCTTTTTTTTTCCATAAAACATCAACAAATAACATAGTTTTTATTCTTTTTTCTTTTCTCTCTCTTTTTTTTATTATTCTTTAATTCTTTTATAATATAACGCGTAACAATAAAATGCCTTCATTAACAGCTGAAAAGGTAGCAGATTATTTGCCCTTGTCAGGCAAGATGCCCCATATTTCAGGACGCATCATCAATGTCACGCATCAAATCCCTTATCATATATCAAGATCTGCTCCTACTATGGTTGCTGATGAACAACAGCCGTTGTCTGTTAATGAAGATGGTGATGTTGCCGCTGCTCCTGTATCTAAACTTGCTCGCCATCATCGTCGTGGTCGTACCTTACGCGCAAAGTTCCATGCTGCCGAGTGGACCATCACTCAGAGTAGAGGTCATCTTGCTTTACACGCTGGTCTCCAAAGCTTACGTGATGAATATGAAACACTGCATATCGGCTGGACTGGTCCAATCAAGGATAAGATGAAAAAATCTCCTCTTCAGGCTGAAGAACTAACAGATCAAGACAAAGCCAAGCTGGAGTCTCTCTTGATGGAAAAGGGCCGTATTGTTCCCATCTTTTTGGATAGCAAGTCTCGTGGTCATTATGAAGGCTACTGTAAAGAAGGTAAGCATATATTGGGTGAAACCGGGAGAATTTTAACATCTAAAACAAACATATATAGTACTCTGGCCCTTATTTCACTATTTGACTTGGTCAAATGACTCAGATGGTATGGCTGAAAAGCAGTACTGGCAAGACTATGTTGCCGTCAACCAGCAATTTACCCAGACGATTGCTTCTCATTACCGTCCTGGTGACATAAGTAAGTATTGTGCGTGTGTTAAAGCTTGCAAAATTTAAAAGTATATAGTCTTCATCAATGATTATCATTTACTACTTGTGCCTGAGATGCTTCGTGAAATCATTCCTGATGCCCCTATTGGTCTTTTCCTTCATGCTCCTTTTCCAAGCTCTGAAATCTTCCGATGTCTGACAAGTAAGTTGTAAAACAAAATAAACAAGAACAAAATGTATAACTCTTATTAGCTCGCAAGGAAATTCTCAGTGGATTCTTAGGCGCTAACCTTGTGGGATTCCAAACTTACTCTTATGCTCGACACTTTATCGGTTCATGTACTCGTGTTCTCGGTTGTGAATCAACACAGACAGGGGTCAATTGCAATGGACATATCGTCTCAGTAGGTACATTCCCTATTGGCGTTGATGCTAAACGTGTAGACCAGTTCCGTCAAGAACCCGGTGTGGCTGCCAAGATCAACGCGATCCGAGCGATGTATGCTGGAAAGAAAATCATCATTGGTCGTGATAAGCTTGACTCAACAAAGGGTGTCGTTCAAAAACTGCATGCATTCGAAAAGTTCTTGCGTGATTATCCCGAATGGCGAAAGGAAGTTGTCCTCATTCAGGTGACAACACCTACCTTTGGCGACAATTCCAAGTTGGAAGCAAAGGTATCTGAACTTGTCAGTCATATCAACAGCATGTATGGCTCTCTTGAATTTACACCTGTTCATCATTATTACCAAGATGTTGATCGAGATGAGTACTATGCCTTGTTGTCCGTTGCTGACGTCGGATTGATCACAAGCTTAAGAGATGGTATGAACACAACGTCACTAGAGTACATCATTTGCCAACAAGAACAGCATGGTCCTCTCATTTTGTCCGAATTTACTGGTACTGCTGGCTCACTTAGCGCTGCTTTGATCGTAAACCCATTCGATAGTGCTGGTGTTGCCAAAGCTCTGAATGAAGCGCTGACGATGAGCGCAGAAGATAAAGCCACTCGCCATGGTCAATTGTACAATTATGTCTTGGAACACTCTGCTGCCTATTGGGCCAAGTCATTTATCAAGCAATTGGTCGAAAGCACACAAAAGTTCAGTCTACAGTCTCAGGCTACACCTGCGCTGGACGTGTCGAAATTCACAAAGGATTACAAGGCTGCAAAGAAGCGCTTGATGTTCTTTGACTATGATGGTACTCTGACACCTATCGTCTCAGTACCCACTGACGCCAAGCCTTCGAAAGAGATGTTACAATACCTTCAAGAGCTCTGCAATGATCCTCGTAACGATGTCTGGATTGTTTCTGGCAGAGACCAAGCCTGCTTGGAAGACTGGTTGGGCGGTATCAAGAACCTCGGCCTAAGCGCAGAGCATGGCTGCTTCTGGAAAGCGGCTGGTTCAGAACAGTGGACAAATGTGCTAGAAGACATCGACATGAGCTGGAAGAAGGATGTGACGGAGATCTTTGATTATTACACGGAGCGTACAGAAGGTAGTTTTGTCGAACACAAAAAGTCCTCCATCACATGGCATTACCGTATGGCAGATGAAGAATATGGTGAATTCCAAGCCAAGGAATGTCAGAATCATTTAGAAAACTCTGTTGTTTCCAAGATGCCAGTTGAGATCCTTGTTGGTAAAAAGAACTTGGAAGTACGTCCTATGATGATCAATAAGGGAGAAGTAGTCAAGCGTATCATGGCCTTGTCACCAGACGCTGATTTCATTGTGTGTGCTGGTGATGACAAGACAGATGAAGACATGTTCCGAACTCTCTCTGCTACTTACTTTGCTCGTTATCAAGAACAAGTAAACAAGGGAGACACTGATACCACATGGGCATCTGCTAAATCCTCATTATATTCTATTACGATTGGTCCACCCAAAAAGAAGAGTATGGCTAACTGGCAAGTAGAGTCACCCTCAGAAATTATTCATCTTTTAGGCACTATGGCCAAATCAGATAAAGAACAATAGATAGATAATGTTGTTAATAAAGTGTACACTGTATTTTTTCGCTCTTTTTCTCTTTTTTTATTATTGGCTTTCATCTACAGGATCATCAAATTGATGTCCATTCATCTTTGGTTGTTCAAACACGGATTCCAAGTGTCTCAAAGCCGCCTGTTGTACTTCATTCAATTCGGCTTCATCACTTGGGGCATAAAACTCTTGATCACTTTCCTCTTGTTCTTCCATAAACTCCTTATCTGGATGAAGCGCTGCACATTCTGACATGGCCAAATAGATACCTTCCACTATATAACAATGTATGTTTATAAAAGAGTTTCTTTTTTTGTATTTCTTTCTTACATGCACCACTATCGCGTGGAATTAAACGAAGTTCAGTCACGGTTTCCTGTCGATCATATTCGTCTTCAGGTAATTGTTGGTTAGGAAAGAAGATTCCAGAATCGAGTTGACAATAAATGTTGGGTTGACCGTCTTGTCTTGAGATGGCATGAATAATGATGTCTGGATATTCTACAGCAATACCTGACTTGGAAGCTTCTGAGTAAAAGTAAAATTGTCTACATGGAAAATGTCAACATTATATATCGTTTTATAAATCAACCTACTCTTCACAAACAAACATGTCACCAAAGAGTGGACCTTCCTGACCAGCTAAAGGAGGAGAAACGAGTAAGGCTGTATCTCTTTGAATATGTCTTGCTTTCAAAGTTGACTCATCAGGTGTTTGAGAAAGTAATGTCACAGTCATGTATATATGGATTAAAAGAAGAAAAAAAAAAAGGAAAAAATTATTATTTCATGCACACACGCTGAAAAAGACAGGGAGAAAAACACATACAGTTGAAATTATTTATGGAAATATGCATAATGTAGAAAACAAACAGCGAAATGTATATAAAAGATATATGATTCTAAAACTTGAGAGAGGGGTTCTTCTTCTTCTTCTTCTTCTTATCAGCTAATTTTCTAGCATGTCTTTTACTACGAGGACCACTTGTTGAAATCTTCTTCTTTGGTTCCTCTTCTACTTCCATCATTTGTTCAGCAGGTTGACTTTCTTCTTGTACTTTCTCTTCTTCCATTTGGTCTCCAACTTTAGGTTTATTAGCTGCTTCAGCTTGTGCCTCTGCTAAACGTTGAAGACGAGCCTCTTCTACTGGCTTGAATATCTTTTCTCTTTTAATAGCTATCATTCAATTAATATTTGCTTAGTTTTTCATTAATATACTTTTTACCTCTTGTTCTCTTCTTTGCTTGTGATCTTAAACTTTTTGCCATTGTGTAGATTAAAGAATACAATTTTTTTTACTCTTTTTCAAAAGTGATTTTATTTCAGCAGCCACATCAAGGCAAAAAGCAGTCAATTATCGGGATTTGATTTAAAAGATGCTTCATGAAAAGTGATATTTATGCAAATCATAGTTGTTTATCTTCTTTATTATTATTATTATTATTATTCAAAACGTATATGTTTTCCAACACGCTCTTCTGCTCTTGTGTCGTCATCATCATCACTTCTTCGCCTTCGTTTCTTGCTTCCTCTCAAATCATCATTTTGACGGGTATACATCATTTCATCCATGTTTGCATATATATAATCAACCATAAAATCATCAAGTTCCTTTCTTCTTTTCTCACTATATCTAGTTTCTACCTTGATGATAGATGACAATATTGATACCGGTTCCTTTTTCGATAATCGGGATTTTAGTAGGCTAGAGGCTGTTTTGAATATTAGCTGTAAATAATCAAAATGCTGAAGTGCTGCTGTCACATTTCTTCCTACAATGTAAGGTCAGTTACTTTTATATTTTCAATTCTGCATGTACAAACCTGGTTCATCAGGGTTTATAATGAACAATTTTCCACTTTCATAATAATAGTCACCAAGTACTTTGTTCATCTCTCTCATTGGATAATATTTGCCCTCATCATTTACGCTGATAATATGTTTTGAGGCGTCAAAGTCGTGAGCATAATAATCTAATAATCCCAAGAGTAAGCGACCATAGTATTGTGGATCAGTAGATGTAATATCGGTTGGTTTATGGAGCTGTAAATAGCTAACGATAAGGCAAATGAGCCCAAAGTTACAAAGCCCTGCTGTCTTTGCTGACAACGGCTCAAAGGTCCACACATTACGTAGTCTGAATGCTGACAAGGATTGCTTTAACACCATAAACAGTGGTTTCAACTCTGGATATTCCTTGATCCATGTCACTGTTCTTTCTGAGCTTGTCACGTTGCCTTGTACGGAAATATCCACTGATACCCCATTGCTTAGACGGCCTGTGATGATGGGTGTCTACTAGAAGAGACGTAAGAAAGTATTACAATCTATTCTTTTATTGTCTTACCTTTGCTGCTCTTATGAATTCTGATCTTTTAAACATGATTCGTCTCCTTGCTTCTCTATAGATCTTGTTTAATATATTTCGCGGCATGACAGGCTTATCAAAGCGAATGACAATATCTACGTCACTGAAAATCAAGTTAGATTTATTAATTGTAATATTTCATTTACCTTGAAGGAAGTGCAAGAGAAGTAACAAAAGATCCAAATGCTTCTACAACAGGCATTGGACTAAACATGCTCTCAATTAGCCATTGGATCATATTTAGTGCATCTGATCTCAATCGTTGTTCACGATCTGTTGGTGCAATGTATTTTTCAAAATCAAGAATCTCTTGAGAGAGTCTACAGTATATTAGTTTTTATTTCTTGTTTTATTGTTTCAATCAAACCTTGATATGCTGTCTGTAGTTGAAAGAGTCTTTGGACTACTCCAAGGTGCATCCATTTCTGCAAGCGAAAAAAGAGAAAAAAAAAAAGAAAAAGAAAAAGAGGATTAATGGCATTTATTTCTTTTTATGAATATGATTGCTTTAAGCAACCCTTTCCCTTTTTCTTTTTTGTCAAGAAAAGACTCTATCTTTGAGTATTCATTCATGACAACGAATATTACACAAATATGGTCATTTGTGTGGCTATGGTGGCTAATGAGGCTTGTCATGTTTTTAAAAGAGAGAGATAATGCTGTATGTTAATTTCTTTATATGCATAAACGGCTTATTATGTTATTTGATGCCACCCACACATAAGAAGGGCAAATTAGAGCCGTTTATCCACAAGATGACTGGCTGTAATATTATTTATTTCGTCATACCCTTTTTTTTTCTCCCTAAAAGATACAATGATACTCTTTCTTTCTTTTCTTTTTTTT